ATGCAAACATGCTGTGTGTGCAGCATCTATCATGTTACCTCCAAAAGACATGGGGCCGGAGAGAACAGACATAAATATACTGATGCTCCTGCTATGTGCTGTGCCATGAGTAATAAAGTCTTAGTTTCTGACCCAGGAGTCTCATGGCTTTTGCCGGTATCTATGAAACAGTAACAGTCCCGCTATTAGGCTAAGGGTAGCTTGTTAGGTTAAGGTTAGTTTGCAAGTGATAATTTGGAGCTGAAATACATGCCAAACCGTGTGGCCTAGTGTAGGGTTACCTCCACCCGAAAGAAGGGGCACATTTTTTTTTTTAAAGATTTTATTTATTTATTTGAGACAGAGAGAATGAGATAGAGCATGAGAGGGGGGAGGGTCAGAGGGAGAAGCAGACTCCCTGCCGAGCAGGGAGCCCGATGTGGGACTCGATCCCGGGACTCCAGGATCACGACCTGAGCCGAAGGCAGTCGCTTAACCAACTGAGCCACCCAGGCGCCCGGGGCACATTTTTCTAATTTGCATAAACTTACCACATCTCACTAAGTCATGAGCCTACATAGGGGTGCTGGGATGGATGGATGTGTTTGTATATACCTCTTTAGACTTTCCATGAAGTTATCCTATGAACAAAGGTACTGATGACCTGTGATCCCTTGTTTATCTTTTCCCTCTGGGTGTCTGTTCAGCCCTCTGGGGTTCTATTCAACTGTCCAACAGAAGCTGTGAATTAAAGAACTGACCTGCTTCACATCAGCCTCTTGGATGTGTAGACAATGTTTTGGACTCTGCAGATTCTGCGACCAAAGAGAATCCATGAGCCCTTCCACACTGGAGTTGTGGAATGCTGGGTCAGAGTTGGTATAATAGGTTTAGTGGTTAAGGATGATTTGCTCAGCCTGATCTTGTCATTTTTTGTTTTTCTTGGGAATATGGTCTGTTTATAAAAGAACTTTTGGCAACCTGAATGCGTCAAAAGTTTGCACTCATTTTGGCTAAAAGCAGTAGGCTTCAGATGTCCATATTAAGGTCATAAAGCAAAAACCAATATGGAAAGCCATAGCTAGAAAATAAATTTCTATCCAGTGCTTTTGATTAACCCCAAAATCCTTGTTTTTCAAATTCATGCAAGGTTAAGATTTTCTTGAACTATGAAAATCTCAAACTAATTTTTTTTTTTTTGTAGGATGGTAGACTACATGTCTACTATTCTGCTTGGAAAGATCTATTTGTTACTTAATCTTCTACCTCTTTCTGAATTTTTGCTCTTGACTACGTTTCTTTTTCAGTCAAACCACTGTTGTTCCTAATTAGAAATTTAAATTACATCTGCTGCAGTTTGTACACACCAGGGGATATATTTATGTAATACTTTTAGCCAGCCAAGATATTTTTCATAACTTTAGCATAACATTTTTTCATAAAGTGCTTATTGATGAGACGTTGTAAAAATTGTGCAAGAATGGACACAAGAGAAGCAGTTGTGTAGCTCAGGAGAGACCTCACAGGAAAAACATTCCTTAAATATATTTTTCTTTTATATATTTATTTTTTATGGTGCAGGAACACATTTTCTTGCGCTATTCTTTATATATTCTCCCTTAGTATGTCTCATGGATGTGTGCTGTTGGAAAATGAAAATAATCTTACAAATTGTGATATTTCATTAAATTTCAACGAGGCAATTAAGGAAACTCATTTTCAAAGATATACATTTATTTCAGTGACTTGAATGTTGCTTAATCAGGAAATGCCCAGAATACTAAATATAGGTAGGTTGGGCTTGTCTAGATCAGCGTCTTTGAGAGTCAGATTGTTGAAAGGGAAGATATGCAGGTTAAAACAGCAGAGGCCCTTGCTGTGGGTGGAAACTAATTGGCTGAAAACATGAATAAATTATACTTGTTATTCATGTCAAGAGCAAGAGAGGAGAGGAGGGACGAATATTTGTATCTACCAAGGCCTTATTTCTGCCACATGATAAAAAAAAAAAAAGATCCTTAGATGTAGGCTCCTCTTCCTATGTAGCAAGTCAGAGGAATAGAAGCTCAATTTCTTGCCATGCTTTCTTCTGAATATTATGTTTCAGATTTGGCATGTTCAGCCAAGAAAATGTTACTAAGAAGGTTGCTAAGGAATTCTGTAACATGAAACATTTATTCCTCGGACCTCTGTCCTTGAGCCTGGGGTTTTAAATGTTAAAATGCTTTCAATTAAAAGGCTCTGAATTTAGGGTTGGATAGTTCTTTCCCTCTTTTCATGGTCCTTCACTGTGTCTGGGTACTTGTAGGCTACACGTATTACAGTAGATTGACTGCAGTTCTAGTCCTAAAACTAAAGATTGTGGTATGATGTTATCAGACTTAAACGTCTCCAGATTAGATATTGTAGAGTAAGATCTTTTACAAACAGATTGATGTTTCTTTACAAATCTTTCACAAAATTTGCATACGGGAGGCCTATGGAACTTGGAAAATTTTCTTTGAAGCAGCTGTTAGTAAAGTCCTACCAAAGAAACACTTCTTGTGCCATTTGGGATCCTGTCTTTTAAACTTCAGCTTGCTATACCTCTCTAAAGATTTCTACACCCCTGGGGCCTCTGTGACGCTCCCCCACCTTGGATCTCTACTTAACATCATCCTACTTTGACACTTGTTTGGGTATTCTTTTTTTTTAAGATTTTATTTATTTATCTGACAGAGAGAGAGAGCGAGAGAGGGAACACGAGCAGGGGGAGAGGGAGAGGGAGAAGCAGGCTTCCCGCCGAGCAGGGAGCCCAATGCGGGGCTCGATCCCAGGACCCTGGGATCATGACCTGAGCCGAAGGCAGATGCTTAACGACTGAGCCACCCAGGCGCCCCTTGTTTGGGTATTCTTGTGGGGTGCTCCTGTGGCTTCATAAATTGTTCCAAACTAAGGTCTAAGCTCCGTTAAAGTGGTTGGTGTCTGTTTTTCCGTATTTCCCCTCACTCTTCAAAAGCCCCTTAACACAAGTCCATAAATAGGTGCTCTAGTTAAGTAGATTACTCTGGAAGTCTATCAAGAGGGTGAGATAAATGACAATCATACTGTATGCTTTCCGTATTGAGCCGAAGAGTTAGCCGCAGATGCGCAATAGGTCTAAGACAAAAGTCCTGGGTTTGAGTCTAGCACCATCACTTAATTAACCTCGTGACCTTTGGCAGATGATTTAATGTCTATGTCTTTATCAGTGATCCCTAAATTCCCTTAAGTCCAAGGGTTTGAGGATAACTTGATTGATCGAGAGCAACGGTTCTCACAGTGTGAGAACAGGGACATTCCCCGGGAATAGTTAAAAATGCAAGTCCTCCAACCCCACCTCAGACCTCCTGAATCAGGAACTCTGCGCTTCAACAGACCCTCCACGTGATTGAGGCATGCTGAAGTCTGAGAACTACTGATCTTTGTAGAGTCAAATCCCTGGTATGGCGAGAAGCTCTGTATCATAATGTTAGTGGACATTGAGGATTATGCAGTCATGTCACGGCTGGCATTTAAATCTAGTGCCTGTGTTTCATCTTTAAGGCTCTGTACAACGGCTCACCACTGCATCATAGTCAAGTGTGCAGCTATTACCCACAGAATTGCAGCTCCCAAGCTCCTATGAACTGCTGGCAATTGAGGAGTGAAAAATCTTTCTAAGGTGAACAAAGAATATGCAATGGACAAGGGATTAATTTCCAGTAGCAGCCTCCTAATTCTGTATTCATAACGTCGTATGCATGGTGAGGCTACAAATGCAATGTCTGTATATCAATACATTAGGTAATTGGGCATCTTGCAGCCCCATTTGCATGCAAAGGTGGTTGTACACTTCCCATTTACAAGTCTAAAATTAAAGCCCAGTTTGAAGCAGGCTGAAGTCTTGCTGCTAGGAAAATAATGAGATAAGGAAGAAATGACTTCTGTTAATCAGCACTTTGGCCTCTACTGTTCAGTCTTTGCTAATTTGTCCTTTGAAATTGTACGTTCTGCGTTGAAGAGACAGAATTCTAAGAGTATCTGGGTTTTTTTTTTTTAACCCTACATTTATAAGCTGATAGTGTTTATCCATAGCATTTCCCCTAAAACTGGACCCACACATATGTTGCAATCTGTTGCTGCCCTAGATTTCTGCTCTGTGAAGTATTTGTACTCTTGTGGGACTACATGCATCATCTCAAAGAAGAGCAACCCCCCCCCACACACACAGATTTACAGACTGGGTCTGTGGCATCATTTCATTTTAGTTCAGCCCACATTCATCAAGTAGCTACTTTGTGCCACGTATCGTGCCAGAGGCTGGGTGTGTACAGATCAGTCAAGTTTCTGGGTCCTCAAAAGCTCACAATATTTTCACAGCTTCCTGGTATCTCAGTGTTGCGTATTTTTGCTTAAACGAAGTCTTCCCAGATCCCCACCCCATGAATTAAAATGTTTCAAGCATCCTTCTCGGATTATGTTCTACCTGCGTCCCCAGGAGACAAGGGGACCTAGTGGACCCATGCCTGGAAGAGTCAAAGCCCCAAAGCATAAGATTATGGCCAGAGGTCCACTCATGAAGAGAAGGTGGCTGCTTTGCAAAGGGCCTGTATTTCCAGGTGGCAGGAGCAAAGAATGCAGGAGTGTTTTCTGTACCCCCAGTGTGGGTCACAATGGCAGAGAATGCCCATCTAAAGCCCTTTCAAAGGGGCTTGCCCACGAATGCCACCTGGAGGAACAATGGATCCCTACAAAGACAGTTTACCAGGAGCCAACTGTGAGGCAGTCACTGTCCGTCTTCACCAGCTGCTTTATATTTCCATATTTGGCCATGTGCGTTTGTTTTACTTTGTCAACTAGATTGTAAGCTCCCAGAGAACAGAGCTGCGTCTTAAGAAGATTATCTTCCATGGTACCTATTTGGTGGTGACGATCATAAATATATAAGCAGGAAGACTGCCTGGAGGTTTATATACATTAGTAGTTTCTCGTGGTAATCAATGTTTTTCTCTTCGTTCCAGCCCAGATGCATATACTGTTATAGCACCCAATGAAAACCGAAGAAATCAGATACAAAGGAGTACGTATATTTATTCAATCGACATTCAGAACTCTTCTCATCTTCTTATAGAGCAGGATTGGTTTACTTCGGTTTGTAGTATTTTTATTTTCTCGTTTGTATAGACTGACCAGATCTTATCAAGTTTTTTTTTTCTTTTTTAACTTTAGCTGCTTTAATTATACCTTTTAAAATTATTCTATTGTTGGTGCTTCTAAATTTGTTTCTCTATGTTAATAGTAGAACTCATAGTGCAATTGTAAATCTCAAATTTCCGTTGGCCTAAACTTTTTCACATCTATTGTCAATGAATCTATCTAATTCCCAGGAAATTGGGCTGAGTGCAGATACTTTTACAGGACTACGAACACTTGTGGAGCAGATGAATTATATATGAAATAGATCATGATGTAATTTGTCCCTTTCTTGATCTGTCCTGCCCCATCCCTTCTTAATAGAATTTTTCTTTAACTTCTGTGCTCCCATAATTTTGTAAGTATCAGAGTCTACCCTAAGCTGTTTTTATTTGTGTACCTCAGTTTCCTTGTAAGATTACAAGCTGTTTGAGGGCAGGGACTACACCTTACTCATTTTTGTGTTCCTTGTACCTAGTGGGTGTGTAACATATTTGGCTGAAATTATATGGTAAAATAAATGCTGGCATTTAAAGTTACAGCATTATCCCTTAGAGGTGGATGGAGAACTGAAGTTCCACTAGTTCACGAAGAAGTTATGAGGCTTGTTCAAGTCAAACTGTGGGGCTAGCCCTGACGTTCTGTGCTCTCCTTTATTAGATCTTGGTAGGAAATTTAATATTGTGGCTGAGAATGGACCTACAGCCACAACAGGAAAGCAGGTCTCTAAATTAGAGACTTGGGTCTCCAGCAGACAGGTAGCCCCCTGGGTGGTACACCTCCATCAGTGCTGAATACAATAATCACAACTATGCAGAGTGATTGCGGGTACTGCCGCAGGTGACCAGCGGAATCCTTAAAAATTTTAAGGATTTTAAGCATTTTACAAGCTTTTGATTTAAATACTTTCCAGGAATTGAAGCCTTGGTGTGGTCTGGAATTTTGGGATGTTTCAGAAGTTTTGTTTTTTTTTTCTAATAGTTAAAAACTGCCATATATGGACATTTGAAACAATCAGGTCTAAGGGGTAGATTCAGACGTGCCCTGGAAGAACGGTATTAGAATTTTTTGGCGCCCCCTGCTGTCACACAGAGGGTATATTTGGGGAAATAGCACCGCTCCACCAAGAGGAGGCTTTCTGCCTGGTGGTATCCAGCTCAAGGAACCCAGGAACCCTCACGCCTCCCAGTTGCAGTAAGCTTGGGGGACATTTAAAATACAGTTAATATGGGCATCAGAATTCTCTGGGGATATGTTTACTGTGTGTGAAGAGTTCTTACCGACATAAGAATATTCTCGTTTTGCACACATTCTCTAGAGGAAATTAAAAAAATTAACTTGATGTAGGGTTTTAAAAATGCCAGAATGAGAGGAAAAACTAAACTCCTTTATTTTAGTAGGAGTTCAGGTTTGTTTGTTTTTTTTTTCCCCCTCAAATCTGAACCTTCAGTTCATACTCTTGGAGAGAAAGTGCCTCGGAGCGGGGGGCGGCGCGTTGGGCCCAGGGTGACTCCAAGGGGCGGCTTCCTTTCCTGGATATTTTGTCCACTTGTGCTTGCATGTAGTTAATTGCCCTCTGATGTTTGTTCCTTAGGCTTTCAAGGGACCTGTTTCCTTTTCACATTCTAATAATTGATGATTTGACATTTCTCACCTGGCTTAGTTGCTGAGCAAGAGCTACAGAGTCTTGAGAAGTGGAAGGAGCAACATGCAGCGAAGCCCGTTAACCTGGCGCCAAGGCGGTTAGGTAACCCAGCGAGTGCCTGAATTGGGGAGCACGGGGCCACCCAGGGAACCTGTTAGTGCCTTGCCTGTACTTGTCTTTGGACGCAAGTAATAGGTTTTTGGGTCACTGTGCTGCTTGGAATGGAATGCATTTAAAACTGAAACTCTTAGGTAGGCAGGTATGTTACTGTTTCTGATCTTCTGCAAGAAGCAAACGTATGATGCCACAGTTATGTGGGAATAAAGTGATGTCTTAATTGCTGAATAATTTAGAGCCTCTTAGATGATCAGCTCTCAAGAAAGCTTACCTGGGGCGCGGCATATGCCTTGTCAGAGCACTAGGCAAGAGGACAGTAAACGCTAGTACAAGCATATTAATCCTGGCAGTATTAAATGCTAATGGGGGAAAAAAAATGAATGGCGATTCAATTCTAAAACTAAGATGAGAATGAGCTGGGGCCCCGGTGGTGGGTATAAAGAGAACACCACCTGTGTTTTCATTCTACAGACAGAGAGACCTTTGGGCCTCTGGAGCGCATGCTCCTGTGATGAATTGTGTGGGCTGCCTTTGCCTGGTGTTTGAATCATTCAACAGGGATGCCACCTAATGGGAATCATTCACGTCCTTTCTTCTCTTTTCTCTTCCAGCAGCATCTGAGAACTGAAAGGTCTGGATACACTGTTCCCACAGATTCAGTTAATACAAATGCCTTAGAGTCGGGGGCTACTTATTGTCGCAATAGTTTTAGAAAAGTAGTTTTTCCAGGATATAGGTTAAAATAAGCTAATTCGGAAATCATTTAATGGGTGAAAGTAATGGTATTATCACCATCATTCCACTGTATTTCATGAAAGGGGTTAATCTCAAGTGTCACCTTTATGCTGAATAAGCCACATTTGAGGGGTATGACCAAGAAATAGCTTCGTCCTTCCTAATGGGCCCCCTCAAACCGGCTACATGGGACTAGTTTTTCCCATGCTCTTTGGATGAAATTAGATCTTTTTGGTCTTTCTCAAATGAAAGCTGTCCAGCTAATTCTAGGCATTAAACAGTATCATTTAGTAATTATGTTCAGTCCCAGGTACTAATCAAAACTCTGTTACTAATGGAGATTAAAGTTTCTTCCCTGCTCCAGCCCAGGCCTATTCTGGGTAGAAAACTAGCAAAGGAATTGGGACATGGCTGAATTTTTCTCTATTGACTCCTCTGTTCCCAGATTCTGACCCCTGCTGGGTCAAAGGAGGAGAGAGAGAGAGAAGAGAGGTAGGATCTGTACTGCACAGATCCTGGTTTCTGAAAGTCTTGTTGAATCCTTACTGTGCATTCCCACCCCTGGGGTTCTTGGAGTTTTTCAGAGTCCCCTTGCCTACCATTCATCCCTCACTGGATTTCCCTGACATACTTTCCTGCTAGTGTGCTTGGCTTCACCATTGGCTCTTAACTAGGTAGACATCTTTGTAGGGCTCCATTATTCCTCCAGGTGGCCCACATGGGCAAGTCCTTTAAGATGGCTTTAGATTGGTGTTCTCTTTCATGACATCCCAGATTGGGAGCATAGGAGACAGTTATGCATCCTTTCTTCCCCCAAACTCTGGGAGTACAGACTCTTTGCCATGCAGCCACCTCTTCTTGATGACCTGAGTAGCCACCTAATAGCAGCCAGGTGCGTGTAGGCTTTGACTTTTCTAGGTACAGGTCCACTAGGTACTTCAGTCTCTTGGGGACGAAGATTGCGTTCTCCAAGTGATTTTCATTAAACCTCTTTTGCTCATCTTGACGTCACTATTCCTTCTTCCCCAAATACGCAGAGAAAATGGAATCCACAAAGACCTCTTTCCTCTGATTTCTACCTTCCTTTGACCTATCCAACCTCTTTTATAGGCTGAAGGCGGTTGCTAGTTAAGGTTCCCGAGACTGTTTTTCAGTTACCCCCTTGCAGATCCTGCTGAGGGAGCCAGGCCCCTCACTTTAGAATTTGCAGCAGTTGGTGCCTGTTATCTTGGGACCTTAGCCAATATGAACACGAGTCTCATTGTAGCTTTCTGTTAATGATATATCTAGGAATGGTCAAGGTTCGATGCATGGGAAGAGGCTGGGGGTAAAAAAGAAAAGTCTAGAATGCATTAAACTTTGAGAAGAGTTTTGAACAAAACCTTCAAATTCGTAGGCATCTGACTTTCTTTATTTCTCTTAATTCTCAAGTCCTCCCCTATTCCTCTACCCTTTAGAATATTGGAACAGTTCCCGGAGATGCCAACAGTGGCTGTAACACTAGATAAAAGCTTCAGTAGCCCTCACTGTTTCTTTCCCATTCCCCAATTCCCCACAACAGAGACTGAAGGGCCCGAACCAAATAGGTCTTACTTATCTTTTGGGACTCAGAAGAAATGTCCCTATGGTATTTTTATCAGTTCAATTACAAAAACTACAGTGAATGCAAATTGTTTTAATGCTTCTTCTGTGAGAATGAATCTTGCAGAGAACTGACACTTTTAGTGACCAAAGCACCAGAGAATTATTTCAAAGGAATTTTTATAATACACATACACATATTTCTCCATACTTAGGAGAAATCCCTAAGCAGCAATTCTTAGATGATGGTCAAGCTGCAAGGATTTCTGTCCCCAAATTGTTAGAGGTTTAGGAGAGAACATGCACATAATCTAACATCCGTATTGTTCTCTTGAATACCTAAAGAAAGGATAATAAATAGTATGGATTGACAATCAGTTACTAACTAAAATAGTCCCATTGTAATTTTAAAAAACTGGGTTATAAAGACTATGTATTTATCTAGTGGCAAGACTCCTGAGGATTTCCTGCACTTTGCTACTAGAATATGAGGCAGTAGAGTCAAAAGAAGAAAAACAAAGCATCACTGATCATCATCCTTAGTAGGTTAAGGAATGGTTGTACTCAAGCAGGAGGAATGTTCTAGAATTTCTAAGACAGGCACTATTATTATTTAGCATGGACCTTCAGGTGTAATTTCAGTCTAAGTAAAGACTTGAATACCTACATAACTGAAAACCTTAGTGGGATTGTCCTCTTCTTTCAGGAATATGGCACCATATTCTGTCTAGCTCTGTTTCTCTTTTAAGAAATTACCATTCTCTAATGTCTTAGCAAGAAAACTGGTTATATCCTTATTTCCAGGGATATGAAAATGTTAAAGAAATTCACAGTGTAGACTTATCATGTATTAATTAGTCTTTGAAGGCTGACATTTCAGCTTAATATTCATGTTTCACATTTGTGACTTTTTTTTCCATAGGTGGAAGCCAATCAGAGGCTGAAGTCAGGCAGAAACAACAACTCCAACTGATGCAATCTAAATACCAGCAAAAGGTCAGATTCCATGTTTTTTAGTTTAATTTTGGCAAGGAATTTGAGTACCAGCACTTTCAATAACCATGGAATAATACAGTAACTTTACCCAAAACATAAAACCTTTAAATCGATTGCAAAAGGAGACTCTCACAATCAAAGAAATTAGGAAGTGAGAAGTGAAGAGACAGATATCTAGAATTCTTATCCAAGGCGTACGTATCAATCAGGAGGACCCTTGATAAAGGGATTTACTGTTTATAGCTTAACTCTACCATGTTTTGAATGTTTTATTCCAAGAACATGGATTTGTTCACCTAATGCCTGTCATGAAAGTAGTAGAGAAAGATTTAAGATGCCAGTGACTTTTTTTTTAAATAATGAACTCTATGAATTTTATAATAAGGAAATATTATCTGTTCTTTCTCTCCCCGCAACCTGGGCGGGGGGTGGGAAGACAGAGACCAAGGAAAAAACACAAGAGATTAATTTCACGGGCAGGGGATGCAGCCTGACCATCCTCTGTGATCGAAGTAGCTGGAAGTGCCAACCTATAATCATGGTGAGGTGTAGCACAAACAATACTGTAATTTGCCTTTCATCATAATTTTGTGTTCCAGAAGTTCAGACTGAAAAATAGTAACTGTGTTTTGTCCTCTGTAATTTCAATACAATTCAGCTAAAAAGAGAAGAATCCGTAAGAATCAGGAAGGAAGCGGAAGAAGCCAAAATGCAAAAAATGAAGGCAATTCAGAGAGAGAAGGTAAGACGGTAGAAAGGATGATGAGCTACCCTTTAAGGAAGGCTTACTGCGTGCCAGGTTCTCTTCTCCACACTGCCCACACACAAATTCATTTAATTCTCACAATAACTTTATGAGTATATGTTATTCTTATTACCTAAGTTTACAAACGAGGAAACTGGCAGAGAGGATAGATAACTTGCCCAAGGGCTCATGGCCAGTAAACAGACTGGCCTCCAAGCTAGAGTTCTTAGTGACCACACTGTCTCACTTCCCAGGCAAGCGATCCCAGTAGGGGCTATGTATTTAACCAGAAGGCAAAGTAGTTAGTAACGATAACATTCGGGGCACTGCCATGTTTATATCCAAATATTGAATTTTCTGGGAGGAGTGTACAATAGGTGAACATACCTCTCTTCCTGATAAAAGAAAAAGTGTGCATTTGCATTTCAGTATTGCTGATAGGATCTATGCAAAATCTCAAAGCGAAAGTGATGTTTTTCATTTTGATAACTCTTTCTGGGGCTCGGCCAAAAAAATCTCTTAAAAATGCTTTTCGGGGTGCCTGGGTGGCTCAGTCGGTTAAGCGGCTGCCTTCGGCTCAGGTCATGATCCTGGGGTCCTGGGATCGAGCCCCACGTCAGGCTCCCTGCTC